GACTTTGGAAGAAAAAGAGCTCATGGGAAGTAAGGAGTTGGTTCCACAGAAGGTAACAAAGAACAAGGAGAACTCCTAGTGAAAGCAAAGGGAACAGCCTGAAGATCAGGGAGAAACATCAGGTAGAAGACTTGTTGACAGATAAAAAGGACTTAATCTTGAAAACAAGCAAAGAAAAGAAGACAGAAAAAAACCCCACAAAAGCAAATATCAAGGGCATCATAGCATCGTTCTAACAAAACATTACAACAACATTAAGGAAGAGGAAATACCTTAAAAACAAAAGAGAAAGAGTGTAAGGAACAAAACCTCAAGCCTCAGATGTCTATTTTAATTTAAACAGACTCATACACATTAAGAATTGGGTATTTAATGGTAGGCTGTCATGGAAAAAAAAAAGAATTGGGCCATTGACAATTTTGTTCAAAATAAGCAGATAAAGCTATAAAAAAAGAAATGCAAAAGCATTATCACTGCAGAGATAAACTAGTCTCAACTAGCTGGAAGATAAGAAAGGTTCATTCTCAAAAGAGAACCAAACTGACAGTGGTCAGACGGATTAGAGACGGAGACTTTGTTAAGCTCCAAATTTGAGGAAGACTGCCAATGGAGAATGACCAATACTTCCTCAACCTGCTGACAATGTCACTGCTCATAATAAAACAAGGCAACAAAGAAGGCTCCTAGACTTATGTCCAACCAATGAAAAAGGGCTAACTGCTAAGGTGGCAGTGAACAGATGCACTGGGGAATGAGAAGTGGACGTTTACTGAATGTTGTCTATAAGCCAAGTGGTGAGGGTATCATCTTGGATTTTCTAACAGGGATAGATGACAATGAATGACAGGTAGTGGGACACAAAACTCAAGTCTTCAGAAAAGAAGACTTCAGAAAATCCCAAGAAAAAAGTAGCCAATTGCAAGGCCTCGGATTAGAATAATCAAAAAAGCTGAAAGACACTGAGTACAGTAACTCAGAGTATGAGGTGATCCTAAGAAAAGAGAAGGCAGCAAAACTTAGGTGAACACAACTCATCAAAGAACACACATGGGAGATGGATAAAGAGTAAATTACTAATGACAAAGAGAATGAGAATGGACAAATCTGAAGGACTAATGTCAGGCTATATAGTAACATGGAAAATGCTGATGAAAGACTGTCAAGCAAAAAGGAAAAAAAGCAGTGTGACTGTGAAGGGAAAAACAAAAAGTCCATACCCAGCAAGAGATAAGAAAGGTGTTCATAGCCGCAGCCGCGACTGTGCCGTCTCTAGCTCCCCGAGTTCCAGCCAAAGGAGAAGGTGGGTAAGTAAGGTCTCTATACCATGGCTCCTACAAAGCAGACTGCCCGCAAATCAACCAGTGCTAAAGTGCCCAGGAAGCAACTGGCTACAAAAGTCGCTCACGTGAGCCTACACTCTACTGGAAGGGTGCAGAAACCTCATCGCTACAAGCCAGGTACCACGGCACTCTGATTAGACGTTATCAGAAGTCCAATGAACTTCTGATTTGCAAACTTCCTTTCCAGTGCCTGGTGCAAGAAATTGCTCCGGACTTCAAAACAGATCTGTGCTTCTAGAGCGTAGCTATTCGTGCTTTGCAGGAGGCAAGTGAGGCCTACCTGGTTGGCCTTTTTGAAGACACCAACCTGTGTGCTAACCATGCCAAACATGTAACAATTATGCCAAAAGACATCCAGCTAGCACACCACATACATGGAGAACGTGCTTCGGAATCCACTATGATGGGAAAACATTTCATTCTTAAAAAAAAAAAAATTCTCTTCTTCCTGCTATTGCTAGTTCTGAATGTTAGATTTTTTTTTTCCTATTGGGTCAAAAGGTACCTAAGTATATGATATTGAGTGGAAAAATAGGGGACAGAAATCAGGTACTGGCAGTTTTTCCATTTTCATTTGTGTGTGAATTTTTAATATAAATGTGGGGGTGTGAAGCATTAATGCAACTCAAAATGTTTCAGTGAACAAGTTCCAGCAGTTCAACTTTTTAACAGTTATAAATAAACCTGTTAAATTTTTCTGGGAAAAAAAGTGATAAGAACACACAAAATGTTGACACTGACGGTTTGGGTGGTAGACTGCGGGCAACTTTTCTTCTTACTCTACTTTCCAAATTTTCTTTAGTGAGCATGAATTGTTTGTAAAGTATCTAATGAAGAGAAGGTCCAGAGCGAACAGGCTCATCAAAAATGCTGACAGCTTTCTTTTTATAAGTGTTTAGAGCAAAACTGCTTTGAGAAGATGATGCGAGAAAAAGGCAGAAGTGTTGACCTATTTTGCTATTCTACTAATTGGCGGAACAGGTATCTCTAAAGAAGAATCAAAACCCGTTAGGCGACAAGAGCATAAGAATTAGTTTTAATAGATTTAAATCTTCTAGTCTAGAATTACATCCCAATGTTCTAACTCAAACACACAGCTATGATTTGAGAATTAGGCAGTAATCTCTAAAAAGTAGCAGGAAAGAAAGAAGTACCTGAAAGCCTTGAGAAGGATTAATCCTATACTGATTTTCATAAAGGGGGAAAAGAGAAATTCCCAAACCACAGCCTGAAAAGTTTACTGTCAGTCTCTGAAATTAAAAAAAAACTTACTAGAATCTATGATCCCTTACAAACCTAAGTCCTTCCCATAGGAAATGACATGAGTCCAGTAAGAAGAAAGCCACACTAGCCAGGCATGTTGGCTCACACCTGTAATCCCAACACTCTGGGAGGCCGAGGCAGGAGAATCACTTGAGCCCAGGATTTCAAGACCAGCCTGGGCAACATAGGGAGACTCATCTCTACAAAAAATAAAAATTAGCCAGATGTGGTGGTACATGCCTATAGTCCCAGCTACTTGGGAGGCTGAGACAGAAAGATTGCTTGAGTCCAGGAGTTTGAGGTTGCAGTGAGTTATGATGATGCCTTTAAACTCTAGCCCAGGCAACAGAGCAAGACCTTGTCTTAAAAAAAAAAAAAAAAAAAGAAAGAAAGAAAGAAAGAAAAAAAGCTACACTAACCTCATTTCTTTTTTGATAGGATTACTAGGCCAAGAAAGTCAAAGAATATCATAGATGGTATTTGATCTTGAGTTTTTTAAGGCATGTAAAATCCAGTTCCTCATGACAATAAAATGAAATGTGGGCCTGATGATAATAGAATAAGATTTATAATTAATACATCTGTGTTTCATGGCATGATAAGGGAATATGCTGCTCTACATTTACCAACAACTGGCTGAAGAAGCAGAAGCCATGCACACCCAGGTGGAGAGAACACAAAGTGAGGAATAGAGCTAAAAGTTCAAAAGTAGAGTTAAGACGAAAATTAACTCAACAGACTGAAAATGGAGGCTTGAAATCGGTAAGATATAATTTAATAGGGATAAATAAAAAGTAATTTTTAAAAAAGTATCTCAAGTACAAGATGAGAAAGACTGTTTTGATGGGCACAATTCCTGGGGAAAAGACCTAGGTGCTTTGGTTGACTAGAAGATGAGCACAACACCATGAAATGGCTGGGACAGAGACAACGGTAAGAGTCCTGCCATACTTTCCACGAACCCAACCACATCCAGAATCTACACCTCACCTTATGAAGAACATGCAGAAACTGGAAGGAGTCCGGAGAAGACAGACCAGAAAAACCATGTCACATAAAGAAAGTTTAGGGAGTAGGCAGTAAGCCTGTACTTCCATACCTGAAGGGTTATTGTGTGAATAAAAAAAGGACTTCACAGTGTTGTTCTAACAATTCTTACAGTAACTAACAGACCGAAATTACTAGAAAGCAATGCTCAACGCAAGGAAGTATACAAAAATAAAGTCTGCCTCATAAATAGCTCTCATGCCATCACTAAGAAACATGCAGGCAGAGGCCAAAGAACCACTAGCAACTTTGCCAAAAGGTCTGCAGTGCTGGGCAAGAGACTGGTCTAAATAATCTCTCGCCTCCTTTCCAACAATGAGGGCTTTGATCATGGGGATAAGGAGATGGAAGCTGCTTGACACTAAGTCATTTAAAAGTAGCAAGTCCCTCTTGATGCAGAATAGACTAGTATAGCATGTCACAAACTGTGTCCCTAAATGCTGGCAGAGCGGTTAAGAACACAGGCTTCACGAGACCAGCCTTCAAATCCCAGCCTTGCCATTTACCCGCCTGTGGGACCTTGGGCAAATGTCTCGACCTCTTAGCACTTTAGTTTTCTCATCATAAAATGGAAATGATAAATATCTTCCCCTCACAGGGTGTTGACAGGATAATTACATAGCAAAGTGACTGGCTAGACTAAGCACTTAATTAAGAAATGTGAATGTTATTGTTGGCCTATGTTTATGTCTGTATGTGTGTGTCTCTGTGTCCCAACATTTCTGTCAGTGAGTTTCTGTTTGTATTCTATTGCCCATATATTATTGTTGTTGATATTAATAAGAAGAATAATAAATAACTTGACACCTGGTATGGCTGCGAGAGTCAAGATGCTTATTCCAATCTCTCCATTCTCCCAAGACTCTGGGTCACTTATGACTGCTTAGAAGATGAAAAATGCCAGATAATGATAACAACCTAATGGTAATACTAATATTTACTGGGCACCTACTGTGTGTCAGGCACCACTCTAAGAACTGTCATTTTGTTAGAGCCTCCCAACAACCCTGTAAGAATTCCTGTTATCTGCCTTTCCAGATGAGGAAACTGAGGTTCTTAGAGGCTAAATAACTTGCCCAAGCTCAAGTGCTAAAAAGTAACAGGTCAGGATTTGAACAGGCAACTGGGCTTCAGAACCCATGTTCATAATCACGAAATCAATCCTTCTCAATCCTGGCTGCACATTAAAATTACCTGAGAAAATATGAAAACAATAACTATCTCCAGGATCTATACAACGCCACCCCACCCCTAATTCTAATTTAAATTCATCTGGCATAGACAGCAGAGTTCCCTAGGGTTCAGAAACACTACCCTAGGCAAGGCTGCTCCCTGGATGAAGAGATTGAAATGATCCCAGTGCTAAAGAACCGACTGCTGGCACTGACTGTGGGTGGCTTCTCCTGCATCCTCTGCAAGCAGCCCCGGCATGGGGCACCCATGTACCAGTACTCCTTTGCCAGCCTGTCAAATGTGCTTAGCAGCTGGTGCCAATATGAAGCTCTCAAGTTTGTCAGCTTCCCCACCCAGGTGCTGGCCAAGGCCTCCAAGGTGCTCCCTGTCATGCTCATGGGAAAGCTGGTGTCTCGACGCAGCTATGAACATGGGGAATACCTGACAGCTGGCCTCATCTCCACTGGGGTCAGCATGTTTCTGCCGTCCAGCAGACCAGAGCTGCACAGCTCCCCGGCCACCACACTCTCAGGCCTCATCTTACTGGCAGGCTACACTGCTTTTGACAGCTTCACCTCAAACTGGCAGGATGCCCTGCTTGCCTATAAGATGTCATTGGTGCAAATGATGTTTAGGGTCAATTTCTTTTCCTGCCTTTTCACAGTAGGCTCACTGCTAGAGCAGAGGGCCCTTCTGGAAGGGACCTGCTTCATGGGACAACACAGCAAGTTTGCTGCCCATGCCCTGCTTCTCTCAGTCTGCTCTGCATGTGGCCAGCTCTTCATCTTCTACACCATTAGGCAGTTTGGGGCCACTGTCATCATGATTCTCCACCAGGCCATTGCCATTCTTCTTTCCTGCCTCCTCTATGGCCACACTGCCACTGGGGTGGGAGGGATGGCGGTGGCTGTGGTCTTTGCTGCCCTCCTGCTCTGAGTCTACACCCAGGGCCATCTGAAGCAATGGGGAAAGAAGGCTGTGCCTGTTCAGTCCCCTGTGCAGAAGGTGTGATAGGATGGAGGGGTCCAGAGGGGTAAAATAAAATAGAACCCTCTCACCATGCTGGTAACTCCCTCCTACTGTAACTCATCAGAGCCCTGGTTCTAGGGCAAAATGCAGGCGTTTTCTCACTATCACAGACTAGCTCTGCAGCTGGAGGTGGGGAGCCCAAGAGGCAGCTTTCCCCTTTGCCTTAGGAGTCACCCCTCCTCCCCTAGGCAGGTTCTTCCAAGCCCCAGGGTAGACAGTCCTCAGTATAGGTGGTTGGCAGGTAACGGCTCCAGGGGGCAGAGGTGCCTTGCACAGTTCCTCCCTCCTCACATTCCCTGAAGTCTTGCCCTGGCTGTTGGCTCCACCACCTTTCAGACTCCCCTCCTCCACAGATACCTGTTTTTCTTACTCCAGTGAGAAAAGCACAAATGGTATAGGCTCCAAATGCTGCTTTCCCAGGAGGGTAAAAGATGATGCTGCACTGAGGAAGGGGAACTAGAGAGCCCTGTCCAGCAATACCACCTGCTGTTCCTGGATGTGAGACAGTTGCAGGTTTTGGTACTTTGGAAATGTAACTTTTTGCTCTTATAATTTTATTTTATTAAATTAAATGGCTGCAATGGGGGAAAAAAAAGAGACACTGAAATGAGCAACCTTCCTCAGCTGACATTCCAGAGCAGGCCTACTGCCATTTTAAGGAGTATCTTTAGAATCATGAGATCGAAATTGCTTTTCCAAAAAAAGGAAAAAAAATATTTTTAAATTAAAACTTAATCCCCAAAATGATCCTATTAAGATAGGTATCATACTCCCATTTTATGGACAAGGAGACTGAGACTTAAAAAGGCTCAGTAATTTGCCAATAGTCACAAAGAAACTGAGACTAGATTCCAGGAGGGTTTGGAAACCTGAAGAGCTCCAACAGAGGTGAGAAAGAATTTCAAGTGGGTGAACAAATACGCTTCATAAAGGAAGTGACACCTGGACCAAATGAAGCATGGGACAAGGAAAGGCAAATAAGCAGAGTGAAAGGAATGAACTATTAATACAGCAGAGAAAGCTGTCTCAAGAATATTCAGGGAACCAGAAATCAGCAGGTGCGGTGAAACTATAGCGCTTTCAAGGTAGAGACGTGAGAGAGGACGCAAACATCCACTTGGCCAAGACTGTGCATGCACGTGCATGTCAAGCTGCACAGTTGTCAATGGCCTTCACAGGACTCCTCCTGAAACAGAAATCCACTAAAGCAGACACCTGGAACCCCAGTCTGTGAGGGAAGCAAGGTCTATCTTTGACTTGAACTTATGATGCAGGAAAGAGTAAAGCGGCTTCCAGAGTTGAGCTCTGCAGCTAAGCTACTCTGCCTTCTAGGACTGACTGAGAAGGGACAAGGTTTGGGTCTACAGTATGGTGTCATACATTACACAGCAACAGAGCAAAGCAGTTAAAAGCAAGACTTTAGAGTCAGATAAACCTGGGTTCAAATCCCAACTCTACCTTTACTAGCTGCGTAACCCTGGCCAAATCATTAGACTTCTTTGAGCCTGTTTCCTTCTTTGTAAAATAGGGATAAAAGTATATGCCTCATAAGGTTGTTGTGAGAAATAAATAAGAAAGACTATGTAGGCTGGGCACAGTGGCTCAGATTTGTAATCCCAGCACTTTGGGAGGCCAAGGCAAAAAGATCGCTTGAGGCTAGGAGTTCCAAGTTTCAGGGAGCTATAATTGCACCACTATATTCCAGCCTGGGCAACAGAGCAAGACACTGTCTCCAAAAAAAAAAAAAAAGAAAATGAAAAAATATGTAATGTGCAAAATGTAGTTAGCAGAGTATCTAGTAAGAAAGCAAGTTCCCAAAAAATAGTAGCTAGTCTTTCACTCATTCAACATGTTTACTGAGCTATTTATTTATTTCATTTATTTTTGGAGACAGGGTCTCGCTGATAGACTAGAGTGCAGTGGCATCATCATAGCTCACTGCAACCTCAAACTCCTGGACTCAAGTGATCCTCCCACCTCTCAGCCTCCCAAGTAACTGGGACTACAGGTGTGTGCCACCATGCCTGCCTAATTTTTATTTTTTGTAGAGATGGGGTCTCCCTATGTTGTTCAGGCTGGTCTCATAACTCCTGGGCTCAAGTGATCCTCCTGCCTTGGCCTCCCAAAGTGTTGGCATGACCCACCATGCCTGGCCAACAGAAGTGTTAATGACTTTCCTCCACCAATCCCAAAATTGCCATAACTCCCCTAAAAGGAGGGCTCACTATAATACGCTTACACAACATTTAAAGGCAGAGAAAAGTTAATACCTTTATGACAAAAGCAGAAAATGAGTAAGGGTCCTTAGAAGCATTGGTTCTAATCTCAGCTCTGCCACTTACTGGTGACTTCCTCTGGGCCTCCTCAGATAAGACAATCGTTTTTTTCAGCTCTAATATCTGAGACAGCTGATAGCATCTCAATTTTAACAGGTGACCTTAGAAATGACGATTTCTAAGTACTTTCCTTTGGGAGTATTTAGATGAGGACTGGACATGCAACACAAGACCAGAAGTATGAGGCAACAGCAGGAAAAAGTCATTCTCTAGGGAAATGTGGAAAAATTCCCCCCAAAACACCCTGTACCTTTCTTCATCATGTCCCGGTCCAGGGCTACATTTCTCTGGGCAAGATTTACTTCTGATCGAAAATGGAAGCGCTTGGCTCTCTGTTCTTTCTTTTCAATTGCTTCCTAGAAAGTACAGAAAAAGTCAAAGAAGTAAAACATGGAAGAGGCAAGTTAAATCACAAACACAACATGATGCATCAGTGACAACCCTAAAATAAATGAAAAGAAATGAGCAACACTGTGCCTTGATTAAGTTTTGCAGAGAACTGGATATTCACATTCAGTGGCTGGGAGGGCTTATATTAATTCTGCTATAATTTGTTATCACCTCCATCCTATCACAGCCTGTTACTGTGCCTGGGACATTGTAGGAAATCAATGAGCATCTGTTGAGTGAATGAATAGTGCTTTACAATTTATAAAATTCTCTGACATTTGTTATTAGTAATTAGGCCAAAAAATTACAATTAAACAATCTCAACATCCCAATTTTCCAGATGCAGAAACTGAGGCACAAAAAAGCAAAAAGGTTTGCTGGAGGTACTTCAGCTAGTTAAGGGGGCAGATCTTCTGATTCCAGTGCTATTTCTAGGAGCTCCTCCACAACCACCATTTCGCATCATCTGCGGGTAAGGTAATCACACCCATCACACTCTTCCACATTATATCTGCCTCAGCAGTCTACTCCCTAAAACTGGTTCCTGTTTAAAAATAACACTGAAGCAAAGAAACTCTCTCAACTACTCCAGCCTTTGTGTCCATGGAATTGCCAGTTTTCATCTTTAAGTGACAAGTAGCATTGATGCATCACTGAAAAAAAATAATCAGCTTTTAAGTTTCTTCCAAGAGCTAAAATAGATTTAGGTCCAACTGTGGGTTTCTAATGGCTCACAGGAACCCTTCAGTAATTGTCTACCAACTTTACCACACTAATTGAAGGTCAGACTACCGAAAGCTTGTAAGGATTGGTAAAGCATCAACACTTGTGTCACTTCTCAATAGTTATGCTAATTTTCTTCACTGAAGTTTTCCAAGTACAAACAGCAATCTACCTTCCTTTAGTAACAATTTAAGTGCCAACTCTGGGACTACCACCCTTTTCCCATATACCTGTTTCATATAATGGCAAACTGTGTAGGATTAAGCACAGTCTACTTCTTTTTCAACTACACTAAGAAAACATTTTCACTTTATTCCATTTTCTTGTCTAACAGATGATCAGTTCTCTTTCTTTTGGCCTTTAAGTAATCTGAGACACACTGAGACATAAACTATAAAAAGATAAGCGTGACATATTTATTTTTATTTTTGCTTTTATACATCCAATATAGCAATATATACTGTTATTCAGAATTGTAATTCAGAATTCTGTTCCAAACTTAATTGCATACATTAAAATCAGAAAGAATGTCTAAACTGGACATCACTGATTAAAGCAACAAATATGTACTTACTGTCTATAATAAGGAATATAATAGGTTAGACTCCATGAGGTGTTACAATGAAGGCCATAATCTGGTAATAGCAATCACTAGACAAAAGGCAACACTCATAGGTAGTGAAAATAATTCAGTTGACTTGGCCTTCAAAGTTTAGACAGCCAGGCAATCAGGAAACTCCCATCCTTTTTTTTTAGAGATGGGGTCCAGCTATGTTGCCCAGGCTGGTCTTGAATTCCTGTGCTCAAGCGAGCCTCTGGCCTTAGCCTCCCAAAGTACTGGGATTATAGGTGTGAGCCACCGCAGCTGGCCAGGAAACCCTATTTTTCTAAGTCTCCAACCAGTGAGGAATATAAACATTTACTAAGGGCCTGCTACATGCCAGGCACTTTTCATGTTTTATTTCATTTAAAGTGGAAACAGCATGCATTTTTTAAAGAATGGCATAGCATTTTAAAAAGCATTCCCAATACAGAACTTTTTCTTGGAAACGGTTAAGCACAGGCATCTAGATATTGTGATTTTATCTTTTCACAGATGCAAGAACACACAAATGGTGCCTAGATGTTTTCAGGATGCATAAAGGCGTCACTGTGTAACATGAAGTTTAAAAAATTTTTTTTTAATTCAGTAGCAAGAGAAAAAAGGAGGTAAAAAAGAATATTTAATGTTCTGCAAGTTCTAGGGACCAAGTTCATTAAGTTCACCTGCTTATTAAACTGAATAAATAACTGTCTTACCTTGGAGGTGACATCAATCCCAGTGATAAAGCTGCCAGCCTTGTTTTCATATCTTCTGCTTGTGTCCTAACACAAAGAGAAAGGGTGAGAAATTCTGACAGCAACTGAAGAAAAATCCAGGAGAAAAGACAGTCTGACAACTGGTTCTTTTTGGATAGT